TAAAGCCTCACGAGCCCTGCTGCAGTTCCTAGCAGATACTGCCATAGGTTGCCCCCGGGGGGACCAGGTACGGGCAGTGGATAGGGCTCATAGGGATGATGAATGGGGGCTGGAGGCCTTGGAGGAGGCAGAACGAGAGGGGGAGGGATAATAGGGGAGGGTGGCCTGCAGCAGGCAGGTGACACCCATTCAGTGATAACACCAAGGAGGGCATACATAATGCCCAAAAGCCCTGCGCAATAAGGCGGTTTGGGGCGAGGAAAAGGTCCAGAATGGTCAAAGAGGGGAATTAGAGACTAGATAGGGGCGTCGCCCACGATTCGGGGTCTGTCATAGCCGAAAGGCTCGGTATGGACGTTAAACTTGAATAATAATAATAATAATAATAGAAGCGGGGTATCGGCTTCCAATATGATGTATCACATCAGCTTATATGACTACCGAATCCAGTTAGACCGGTATGCCATGAATCCCAAAATAGAGAGCGTCGATAAGACAATAGCAAACCTCCAATATGTGATCTTCCCCCACGTCTGTCGACTCTGTTCCCATTCATCCATCCTTTGCGGGGTAAAAAATTAATTGGTACAATATTGGTATGCTAGTTTGACCTTTCTGTTATGTGCAGTACATGTACTTACTGTCTTTTCTATCTGCGTCAGATAATAAAATCATTCCTTCCTTCGTTGCTTGCAGACTGGCAGACTGGCAGGCTGGCTGATTGATTGATTGACTGCCTGCCTACCTGCAAGAGATCATCCGCCTTGAAAACTCGCCCAACTAGTTTCGTTACGTTACACATGTGTGTGTGTATAAGTGCGCCAGATAATAATAGAAAACACAAGCAGACGCTCGGAGAATCGCAGACTCGGAGAATCGGAGAATTGCATTTGCATTTTGCACAAATAGGTAACTGTCGTGCTCGCTGGGTCTTGTGACCATGACGACCAGCCCAGCCTGGGCGTGGCTACTGTGCGCCCCGTGGGGATTTGAACTAATGGATCCATTCATCGTAGTACTACAGACTTGTCACTCACTTGACCGAGTTTTGGGTCTGTTTGTATGTGTGGACGTGCCAATTCAATCTAATTCGATTCCAGGCCAGTCCGGCCAAGTCACCCCTGACTCGTTACAGCTCCGCACCAGAACGGATGCGAATAACGAATCGAGTTGAATGAATTGGCTTGACTTCGTTCAGGAGATCTCATGAATCAATCCTATCCCATAGCTCCGCCCATTCCATTGCATTGCTTACTCTCAGGTGTATTTATATCCCCATTACCACCACCTCCCTCTCCGTTCTGCTTATCTTCAATCAAAACACATGCACGTATACATACACACACACGTCCAACGGCACTTGCACTGGTACAGCACAGTACGATCAACATAACGACCTAGCGACGGATACAACCCAAGTACGAAGACATCAGAAATGACAGCAGAACCAATCCCCAAAACCCAGACAGTCGCCCTTGTCCGTCAACTGGGTGGACCGGTCGAGTTCCAACATGACTACCCCGTTCCGACTCCGGGACCAAACGAGGTTCTAGCCAAGGTGCTCTACACAGGTGTTTGTCAGAGTGGTGAGTCATCACCAACAAATCAGTGAGATGGATGAAGCGTTGAAATATGTACCATTACTGATGGCGATGACGACGCAGACCTCCACACCAAAAGCGGCACCGCCGCCGGTGCAGACGGCAAACCCATCACAAAGATCAAACTGCCTCATATTGGGGGACATGAAGGCGTTGGCCGCATCATCGCTCTGGGCCCCGGCTGCAGCGATGATCTCCGTATCGGAGGCTTGGTCGGGATTCGCTTCTCGAGCCGGATCTGTCGCCGGTGCGAGTTCTGCCTCGCGGGCGTGGAGCAGTACTGCATCAAGAGCACCAACCACTTGCATCACGAGGATGGTAGTTTCCAGGAGTATATCGCGCTGGACGCAGACTATCTGACCATCTTGCCGGATGATGTCGATCCGAAGTTAATTGGGCCGGTGTTATGTGCGGGGGTGACAGCGTACAAGGTATTTCATACAAAGAGTTTTCCCCCTTCTCTTCACGAGTGGTCTTCAATGCTGACTTCTTAGGCCGTTTTGAATGCCAATGTCAAGGTTGGGCAGTGGCTCGTCGTGGTGGGTGCCGGAGGTGGACTGGGACATCTGGCAGGTGAGCCGTCATCGAACTTGTATTTGTCTGCCAGGCTGCTAACAAGTTACATGAACGTAGTACAATACGCCCGAGCACACGGAGCATCTGTGATCGGCGTCGACAAAGGAGACGACAAACGCGCATTCGTCCTGTCCCTAGGCGCGGCCGAATTCATCGACTTCACCAAGACCCCCGACGTCATCCAAGAAGTCCAGCGCATCACTAACGGAGGTGCTCACGCGGTCGTCGTCACTGCCGGCAACGCAAAAGCCTTCGCCCATGCGGCGGAGATGCTGCGAGTCGGCGGCACGCTCAGCTGCGTCGGCATTCCTCCCGGACGGCCGTTCCTCGAGACGCCCATCTCGACGATCGTGATCAGGGGACTCAAAATCACCGGCAACCTGGTTGGTTCGCTCAAGGAGTGTCTTGAAGCGGTCGAGTTGACCAGACGGGGCATCGTAACGCCAAATGTCAGCGTGCGGCCATTCAAGGAGCTGCCGCAAGTGTACGAAGAACTCGAGAAGGGAGATATTTCTGGACGAATCGTTCTGCAGGTGGCCAACTAGGTAGCGTCTTGTGTCAATAGTTAGTTATCCGAATCATTCAAATCACCCTTCCCGTGACGATTATCTCCGTCTTGTGATGAGTTTTCGTTTGTTGTATTCATAGTTGAGACCGTGTCGAGTTCCGTGGGTTGTTCCAGACTAAGATTCCACAGACGAGAAGGCACACTCAAAAGCGCCTGCGCCGTCTTCTCCCGTAAGATCGAGTCGAGCGTGTGATCCTGGATCAAGAAAGGCTGCAGTTTCTGATAGAGACCGTGGAGGAATTCATGCGGCCCAAAACAAAGCGTGGAACTCCCCGACAATGCGGAACTGCACAGCAACGTGTCCGCCAGAGCGTTCGCGACCTCGAAGCACTTCAGCAGCTGGTCATCATTAGCCTTGGACATACACACGTAGTGTTATGCAAATAACGCACCTGATCCCGCCCCAAAGGCAGAAGATCCTCCGATGAAAAACTCCGCAGCGCACTCAGCAGGTCCCGGCTGACCTGGACAGGAAAGCGAAAAGACATCAATGCCGACGAAGCCCGCGACGAGAGCAACCCCAGAGACAGCGCGCGCTGCCAGATAATCGTCCTCATCCACTCTCTGGTAATGCAGTAATCCGCAAAGCGGACCAAGGCGGCGTTCTCAGCGTTCATCGACAGCCCCTGCAGTGCGGTCTCGGACGCGATGAGCAATTCTTCCGATACCATGGCATCCGAGCACTGGTCAAATGTCGCAAAAAGTCTGGCCAATTCGAGAAGACCGTGGACATGGACGTTGGGGGAGCTTTCGATGACCGGGACGCAGAAACTCTGCGCGTAAGACGGGGACAGACCTAGATGCATAGCGTATCCTCTGGACTATGTTAGCATGAGAAAATACAACCCAGAGATCTTCAGCATACCTCTCAGACACCCACAGCAAAGAGAACAAGATTTCGCCATTGTCGACGACATCTCCCGCTGGCTCCTGCAGCGCCCGATTGTCGCGGTCCAACCCAAGCAGTTTCGCGGACGATATCGCTTCCTGGATGAACATCATGGCAGAATTCCTCTTGTTGACTTTGGCATGGTACACATGCAGGAAGAAAGAAGCCAGAGCGCTCCGCACGTCGAGATGCTCACGATAGCTGTGCTGCTCCCGGATTCGAATGCACTCCCTCGCCAGATAGCCGCTGTCTATCAGAAGATTGTCTTCTTCAACCGCTACCGCAGGGAGATTCAATTGGGCCATGGTGGCAGCGCAGAGGGCGGCCGCTAGACAGTAGGTGTTGGCATCGAATGGCAAGCTCAGCCGGTCGAGCAGCACGTCGGACTTGATAACGGGCCAGACGCTGTAGGATTGGTTGTGATATTCATTGATTATCCAGGACAGCTTCCGTGCCCACACGGCCGCCTCTAGAGCATAGTCCTGTGTCCTCCATCGCTCATTCTTGGGCGGTGATCTTGTTGCAGAGCCCGTCTCGCCAGTCCCGTCAGGATTATTTCTGGGCGCAGTGGCTGGATCAATGATCGGAGCGGCCCGTCGAAACTTGGGCCCCCTTTTCTGGGCAGGCTTGATATAAGTACATTGAACTCGTCTGGAGGCAGTCTGGCAGGTTTGGCACGGCAGCGACCCGTCGCAGCGGACTTTACGGACGATGCAGGAGTCGCAGGCTCTCTTCACGAGTCTCGGCATAGGCCGGGATCAAAGAATATACATATGTGGGTTTATTTTGTCCAGAAAGAGGTATTTAGGAGTAAGAGGATCGACGTCAGAGAGGTCGTAACTGAAGCAGTTAGAAAAGAAGGTGAGTTGTCGGAGTTATCAAGCGGGGTTCATTGTCAGGTCGGAGCATTCTCCGCCGCAGAACGATCTAGCTATAACCACTTTCCCCTCTTGATCAAATCATTATTCCCAAATTCATCAGGTCCGGTCTTCACTAGCGTCGTGCCAAACCTCTTCTCCATCAACGTCCTCGTGAACACCTCCCTCGGCGTCGTCCGGACGCGGACCTCCACCAGGCCCAACACCCTCAATCCGTAGTCGATCACCATCCGCAATGCCTCGTGGACAAAGCCCTTCCGCTGGGCATGCGGTTCTCTCAGCTGGGGAGAGACCAGCGATGTTGTCCTTGACCATTCTCATCTGCTGTCATCAAAACGAGGAAGTCGAGCTGGGACAGAGGCTGCGACGGGGTTGTCCACGAGCAACAGACATCTCCAAGGGCGGGTGTGTGAGGCGACAGATATGGCCAACTTAGAAAGTGCCTAGGTGTATAAATTACGACGCGTTGGCTAAAAGTTCAAGCGTAATAATACCACGAAATTACGGAACACACCCCGCGTCACCCAAACTGCAGTGCAGAAGATACGCCACTGCTACTCTCCTCAGTCAATCAATTAACCAGTCGTTCGATTTACAGATAAACCTTCTTGCGACAGAAATATATCTATCTATTTCCAAAGCCAGAGAGATGGCAGCCTCGCAGCAACCGCTCGGAGTGCCTCTCACGGATGTAAGTACGCCGCTTGACCAAGAAGACCACACCACAAACATATAACGCGTCGTCACATATACGAAGTAACAATCCACAATTCAACGACTGACCAGAAAACAATGCTACACGACAGCCTGCCCAGCTCGCAGCCTACGAGTCCTCCCCCGCAGCAATCTTCCCCTCCTTCACCGCCGACACCGCTTGGTCGCTCGGTCTCGCCCTCCGCGCGCGAATCCTTTCGCTACCGGACGGCCGACGGAAACCAGCGCTGATCTCGATCGCCCTCACGACAGGATCGCAACAACCTCACGTCGTCTTCCAGAGCGCGACTGAGTCCGGTACCGTCCCCGATAATGAGGTCTGGGTGCGGCGGAAGCGCAACACCGTCCTGCGCTGGGGCATGTCCACCTGGCTCCTACGGCGGAAGATGTTGAGCGCGACGACAGACGTAGATCAGGTGGAGGCGGCGTTCGTGAAAAAGTACGCGTTGCCCAGCTCCAACGGTGGCAGTGTGGCCGATGACTATGCGATTCATGGAGGCGGGTTCCCCATCCGGGTGCGAGGTGTCGACGGGTTGGTCGGGGTCATCGTCGTGAGTGGATTGAAACAGGAGGATGACCATCAAGTCATCGTCGAGGTAGTCAAGGACTTCATCGAGGGTGGACAATAGTGCCGTTTGAAGATGTTGCCTGTCTGTATTACTTGAGGACTGTTGACAAGGACATTTCAAAAAATCTCTACGTCGAGAAGTCCGACATAACCATATATAATTCCCAATATCTCAAGATTCAAATTCCAAGAATCTTGATCCTATCTGATAAGGTGATTATCACTGTCTGATTGCCCTCAAACAACCATCCTTTTTTTAACAGTACAGGAATAAAACATAATAGAAGATAACGTATAAGCACAACGCAGAACTCCAGAATGCTTCCCATCTAAACCAAGTCTACAGCTCGTCGTGGCCGCTAGGCTCCTCGTCCGCCGGTGCGGAACCGTACAGCTTGCTGGTGATCGGATAGGCGACGCTCGACAGCTTCTCGCGCTGCTCCTCAAAGTCCTCTGTCGAGGCGCTGGCAGCGTTCTCTTCCAGCCAGTCGGTCGCCTCCTTGACAGCCTCCAGAATCTACGTAAAGAGTTAGCCATGAATCGAGAATTTCCAGATGCGAAAAAAAAAAGAACTTACAGTCTCCTTGTCATCATCATCAAGCTTGCCACCCAGGCCGTTCTCGTCATTGACCTGATTCTTCAGGCTGAAGGCGTAGTTCTCCAGGGCATTACGGGCCTCGATCTTGGCCTTGGCGGCCCGGTCTTCCTCTGCGAACTGCTCGGCCTCCGCAACCATGCGGTCAATCTCCTCCTGAGTCAGGCGGCCCTTGTCGTTGGTGATGGTGATGGACTCCGCCTTTCCGGTACCCTTGTCAGCGGCGCTGACCTTCAGGATACCGTTGGCATCCAGATCGAAGGAGACCTCAATCTGAGGCACGCCACGAGGCGCCGGTGGGATACCCGTGAGCTCGAATTTGCCCAAGAGGTTGTTGTCCTTGGTCATAGAACGCTCTCCCTCATCTGTCATCTGTTAGTAACCAGTGCTGCTGGAAGGAAATGGTAGATGACACTTACAAACTTGGATCAAGACCGTGGGCTGGTTGTCGGCCGCGGTCGAGAAGATCTGAGACTTGCGGGTAGGGATGACCGTGTTACGAGGGATGAGCTTGGTCATGACACCACCAGTGGTCTCAATACCCAGAGTGAGAGGGTTGACATCCATGAGAACGACGTCGCCCGTTCCCTCCTCTCCGGAGAGGACACCACCCTGAACGGCAGCACCGAAGGCGACAGCCTCATCAGGGTTGATACCCTTGCTGGCCTTCTTTCCGTTGAAGAACTCCTCAAGGAGAGCCTGGACCTTAGGAATACGGGTAGAACCACCGACCAGGACAATGTCACTGATGTCGCTCTTCTTGACCTTGGCGTCCTTGAGAACTTGCTCCACGGGCTTGAGGGTCCGCTTGAACAGATCCATGTTCAACTCCTCAAACTTGGCGCGGGTCAGGGTCTCAGAGAAGTCCTTGCCCTCGTGGAAAGCCTCAATCTCGATGCGAGTGGACATCTGAGAAGAGAGCGTCCGCTTGGCCTTCTCAACCTCGCGCTTCAGTTTACCCATGGTCTTCAGGTCCTTGGTAATGTCGACGTTGTGCTTCTTGTTGTAGAGCTTGACAAAGTAGTCCATGACACGGTGGTCAAAGTCCTCACCACCCAGGTGGGTGTCACCGGCGGTAGCCAAGACCTCGAAGACGCCGTTGTCGATCGACAGGAGGGAGACATCGAAGGTACCACCACCCAGGTCGTAGACGATGATCTGGCGCTCGTCGCCAGTCTTGTCCAAACCGTAGGCGATAGCGGCCGCAGTGGGCTCGTTCACAACACGGAGAACGTTCAGGCCAGCGATGGTACCGGCGTCCTTGGTGGCCTGTCTCTGGGCGTCGTTGAAGTAGGCGGGAACCGTGACGACGGCGTGGTGGACGGGCTTTCCGAGATAACCCTCCGCGATCTCCTTCATCTTGCCCAGGACCATGGCCGAGATCTCCTCGGGGGTGAAGGTCTTGGGCTGCTTGTTGACATCGACGGTGACGACGGGCTTGCCATCCTTGTTGGAAACCTTGAAGGGGAAGTTCTTGATGTCTCTCTGGACGTCCTTGTCGTCCCACTTCCGGCCGATCAGACGCCTGGAACACGCAGGTGTCAGTAAATGCATGCGTCACGAAAATTCCCAAAGGATGTCGCTCACTTGATGTCGAAGATTGTCCTCTTGGGGTTGGAAGAGTACTGGTTCTTCGCGGCATCACCGATCAGACGCTCCTCATCCGTGAAAGCCACGTACGACGGAGTGATACGGTTGCCCTGGTCGTTAACCAAGATCTCGACCTTTCCATTCTGCATCACACCGACACAAGAGTAGGTCGTTCCCAAATCGATACCGATGACTAGGGGAAAGAATCAGGTCAGCGGCTGCCGAAAGACAACGAACATCGAGCACAGCTTTGGCAGGAAGCATACCAGTTCCATAGTTCTCTTGGACGTTCTGTTCCTCAGAAGCGTGGGCAGTTCCCAGAAACGCCAGAGGCGCAATGAAGACCAGGAGGAGGTAAAAGACGGTCGTCCAGGCAAAGGGCTTGGACGCCCCGCCCGGCCGCGACGATCGTGCCATGATGCGTCCGGAGGAGCAGTGTGGAAAAGGAAGAGAGGATTGCTGTCCTTGACCAGGTGCAGAAAGTGTTTCGGCTGAAATTCAAAAGAACAGATCTCCCAGTTAAGCTCCAAAGAAGCTCCCGTTACGATACCGCTGCGATCCTGCTTCCTCAAGAGAGGAAAAGCACAGGGTACTGTAAATAAAAGGAGACCAATCCCTCGGAGAAGGAAGGGAGAAGGGAGAAAGGGATGGAGAAAGACGGGAGGGAAAGGAAGGAAGGGGAGTTGTTGAAGGAACGAGAGAAGAAGAACAGAGAAGCTCCGGCCGAGTTCTTGTATGGAGCATGCGGCGACGAGGTCGCAGCGGCCATGCTGGCCTTTTCGCGGGTAAGGCATTTAAGGTTACTTCTCGCGCTCCCATTGGGCCGTCCCTTGGCCCGAACCCTCTGCTGACTCAGAATGTCGGGCCAATCAGACGCGGTGTCTGCGGCCTCCGCCTGGAGAAAGAGCCACTGTCGAAATCACTAGAAAGAGGCAACCAACAGCGAGTCGATGACGATAGCCGCAGCAGGTCTTTCTGCTGAGCTGTCCTTTTGGTGCGCGGCTGCTGCTGGCGTCTGGCAAGATCAGAACATCTGTCCATTCGAGAATCCTACGGTCTTGCCGCAAGTGGCGACGCTCATTTGCCCGCGATGCCGCTGCGGTTCCGTGGTTGGCTGGTTTCTAAAAATTGCCATCCTTTGTTGACAAGATATGGCCTCTATCGTCTTACTGGCATTGCCTTGATACGATCAATCTGTAGGCTAGTTTTGGTGGTTCTCCCTCGTAGCGCGGGATTGTGGCTTCGAACGCCGTAGGTTTTGAAAGAGGCAACATTGCGCCCTTGCTTGCTCCTACGATTTATGCATAAGGTACTCAAATTCTATCTCGCACCAAACAGAGACCTCGCAAATGCGTGTATCGAGTGCGTAAATACACTGTCCATATCATGCAAATGGTCTAGAGGGTCACATCACATTATCATCATCATCATAAGGTGAATACGAAAAACTACAATGCCAGCGCTCATTCCAGCAGACCCGCTGCCACCGTCTCACCGCCAGCACGGAGCACGATCCTTGCAGGCGCCTCCAGAGGCACGGGCTGTTCCATCTCCACGATGATCCGCGCCACTGTTCCCGGAGGGACGATCTTCGGCTTCTTCTTGACCACGGCTCCCGTTCCCTTATCCAACGTCGCGACGAGCCGGCTAATTCGACCAGAGACGTGCAGTCGGCCCCGATGGATGTCTACCTGCATTGGCATCAAGTGATCGAACGCGAGCACTTTGGTGGTGAAGCTCTGGATGGTTTGAATGGGCGCGGTAGGGGTGCAGATAACGTCGCCTGACCGAAGGTGGGCAGGATCGATGTTGGCGAGATTGAGAACCACGTTCTGTCCCGCGACAGCCCAATCGCTGGGCTCGCCGTCTACCTCCAAACTCTTGATCAATGCAGTCTCTCCACTAGGCATGGTCAGGATCGAATCGCCTATTTGAAGGCTGCCAGCGTCGAGGCGTCCTGAGATCGAGATGGGGTTCTGAACGCCGCCCCGGAACACGTCCCCGATCGTCATGCGCAATGGCTTGTCAAGAGCATGAGTGAAAGGCTCGGAGGTCTCGAGTTCTTCAATGAGGGTACGGCCGGTGTACCATGCCGCATTAGCATCGGTGCTGCGTCTCGTGACGTTGTCTCCGTGGGACCCCGAGCACGGGACAAAGGTGATATTCTTGGCTTGGAAGCCGGCGGCGGTGAGGAACGAGGAGATCTGCTGCTCAATCTCCTCAAACCGGTCCCGGGACCACTGAACCGTGTCCATCTTGTTGACAGCGACGACGATCTTGTGGACTCCCATGCTCCGCACGAGCAAGGCATGCTCTTTGGTTTGCCCCTTCAGTCCAGACTCGAAGTTGCCTGTGCTCGCGTCTATGACAAGCACGGCAAAGTCCGCCTGGCTGGCGCCAGCAATCATGTTTGGCACAAAGTCCCGGTGTCCAGGCGCATCCAAGATTGTGAAGCGGGTATTTTCAGTTTCGAACTTGTTCATCGCGATATCAATAGTGACACCTCTAGCCCGTTCCTCCGACCCCTGGTCCAATACCCAGGCTAGAGCGAACGAGCCCTTGCCGATTTTTTCTGCTTCCCGTCGATACTTGTCCAGGGTCCGTTGATCTACAGCATTCAAGTCGGCGAGCAGGCGTCCCATGAGCGTACTCTTCCCGGCATCAACGTGACCTAACACCTGAAGGTCAGTAACCGCTCGAAGGTGGAGGTAAAATGGAGCTCCACATACCAATCACCACGAAATTGGCGGCTTTCTTTTTCTGTGATTTTTTGTACTCTGCCAGGACATCGAGGTTCTTGCTCTTTACCTTGACAGGCTCTTCGACGGACAAAGCTTTCACCCCTTCTGCGAGCTCCGCCGGTGATTTCTTTTCACCTGTCGCTTTGAGAGGAGTAGCCTGTTTGGATTTAAGGCCTGATGACATGTCATTAGGCGACGGTTCATCTCATTCCGCGAATAGGCAAACCTTTTGATGCACTTTGTGCGTTCAGGACAACATCGTCGGGACTGGGGCCTGTAAAGTCAAACGCTTCAGTGAGATCTTGTCCATAAACCTGCATGACATCAAATCTCTTGCCAGAAAGGTGGCTAGGCTCAGTAGAGGGTCGGATCCCGTCCCCCACAATGATCGTAGCGAACATGGAAGGCGACGCGCGAAGGTCCACGGAAGTCCAAGGTTGCTGCTCTTCTGGGGTTTCCGCGGGGCCTTTCTTGCCAAGCGATGGTGTCGTAGAAACGCTTGTCTCTTCCTTTTGTGTCTCTTCAGTGACGGAAGATCTGCGCCTTGCCGCACGACTTCCCAGTCGACCTTCCTTCAATGCAGATAGGCCGCCTGCTTTTGCGGCTGGTCGGGGCTCTTTGCCAGGACCAGACAACCTTTCAAGCAACGACAAAGACCCAGGCTTTTGCTCTTCCTCTGTATGTGACTCTGTCGTCTTCTCGTTTCCCTTTCTCTCGCTCTCCTTCTTTTTGCGTGCTGCAGCCAAAGCCGCCAGCTTCGACGGTTTCCCCTCACTCTGGGGATTCCCACCCATCAGGCCGAGTCGGGGATATAAAGGCTCTATGAGAATCTCTGCTCGCCGGTGCGGAGGGATGTTCAACCAAGGGGCATCACGGAAGAAGTCCGCCGCTGAGAAGTGGGTCGATGATGACGGAGGCGATGTAGAAATCGCGGGGTAAGCTGGCACTGATAAACCTGTTAGAGACATGTCCGTACTTGCAGAAGGATGTTAGTGGTGTCAAAGCAAAGGAAGTCAAAAGAATCAAAGACTCACCTAGCAAGCTCTGACTGGGTCACTTCTCGGAAATGAATCGCATGTAGGGAAACCCGAGCCCAGCCACCCCGAAGGCAGAAGACATTTCCAGGGTGTTGTTGAAGGAAACCATGCACTTACCCGCTGCCGCTTTGGGTTTTGAAACAGGCGTCGCAGCCTTTTTCTTCATTTCCTTTGCCTTTTTATCTGTCGAGCGACAAGTTAGAGGGGCAACCTTGGAGCAATCAAACCAGGTGTCACTTCATTTTTCGCGTCAATTTACTCACTTCTGAGGTAGTTCACAGACTTCTGCACATCGTTGTAGTAGTGCCATAGCGTCTCTTGTACCTCCTCTCGCGATGCGGTCACAGAAGGCTGCCCCGCACGGAGCTGACTGAGAACCTCGTCGGTGTACTCCTCCAGCAGCTCTTGTTCCTCGGGGTCAGTCTCGTCGTAGTTGTCGTCGAGGTCGTCTTCATCGTAGTCGAGGGATTTGACGCGGTGACGAGACATGGCGGGTATGCAGTGGGAGGGAGTGGTCGCGGCTCGACAGTCACGGACAGATGCTAGAGTGAAATGAAGTGTTGTCTATGTCAGATTCTGCGTAGACCAGAGGCAGAGATCACCGGGGACAACAGCCAGATCAAAGACTTGGAAGATTGTGCTAGTATGTTGTCATGAACAGGCGTGCGGAGGGGATCGAGGGGTGCGGCGTTAGTGAGCGGTGGAGCAGGCCTCACGTCACTCCCCACTATCAGCATTCCGCTCGAAGGCCCTCAACATCAACAAGATATCATCTTAAAAAAAAATGTGGTCGTCCTATTGAACCAAACTTATTTGGATAAAAGGATATGAAAACGATCAATCACCATTTGTACAGATCATATGGGAAAGAGACCAAAATATGGAACCCTTCTTAACGCACTGTGTATGTCCAAGTCCAACTATTTTCTCAGAGTGACATGTTGAAGGGAGCCATGCAAAGCTGGGGACATGGACTCAGCGCATGTATGTACTGGGTTACTTCTTCCCCCAAGAGGAGTGGACGTCCCTCCCTATATCCTTCGATAGACGATAGAACTTGGTGGTACATTTCCAGTCCTGTAGCTAGGCAGGTAGGCAGGTATCATTATTTCGATATGTATGTACCTACGTTTCAGGGCCTAGGACTAGGCTCTTTCTGTCTTCTTCAACTGCTGTTTATCATACAATAAGAGAGTCGTATATCTCAGACACTGAGCGATAATTACATGCAGTTATATCTATGACTACTATTTTAACAACAAGAGAAGCTATGAATGAAAGGAATGGAGCTTGAGTTCTTACTTTTAAAAAAAAATCGTACAAAATCTCAAACCCGGCCTCTCCCTCTCGCTGGAGAGCCAGGGCTCCTGTTCTTTACTGTATACGGTGTGGTTCTAAGCTGCAATGTTCAAACTATATCCTGCGTAGAGGTAAAAGAGAAACCCTCGAAAATATCATTTCACGTCCATATCAGAGGCACATGTGTGTACATAACTACATAAATACAGTATCGTATTCCACGGGATTAGTTTAGGAACGACTATCAAAGGTATATTCAGTACACATGTTCCGTTGCTAATAATAAGCCTTTTCTTTCCTCTGTCAAACCTTCACAAACCCCAACGCCTCATTCTCCTTCTTACTCCTCTGACTCCACTCCGGTGGCTCATCGATGCCTTCCTCTTCTTCGCGGTCACCTTGCGCCTTGTCCTTGTGGACAGAAGTGGGCTTGTGTTCTGCTGGAGAATAAATCGTATAGAGCACCAGCGGGGTGGGACCCGTGTTGATGAACTGGTGTTGCGTGCCCGCTGGGACGATGACCATATCGCCCGCCTGCACGTCCTGGTCCTTGCCGTTGATAGTGGCGCGGCCCACGCCAGAGGTGAAGGTTAGGATCTGGTCGACGGTGTGGATCTGCCAGCGCAGAAAGTCAGAAGCTTTCAAAGTGAACGACTCTAGGGAAGGAGAGGGGAGCTGCTCACCTCATCGCCAATTTCCCCATTGACAGGGACATTCATGAGCACGACCTGCGAGTACAGGCCCGTCCAGAGCACACGACGAAACTCGGCGGATTTGGACGGCAGCGAGGTGGTCATCTGGGGAAAGTATACCATCTCATGCTTCGGAGGGTCCAACGACGGGGTGGGAAACGTCGACATGGCTGCGGAGGTGGTGAACGATCTTGTAAACGATAATGCTGGACGAGACAATAGTATTGGCTTCTTGCTGCTGAGCTGATAGTTTCCGCTGATAGCAGTGGGCGATTGGAGGATGGCGGATGACCTTTGAAAGGATCGTGCAATTAACATAGAACAACGAGAAAAGTAGGAGTAAGAAGAAGGCAACTGATTGTACAACTTCCTTCTAGCAAACGCAATCTCCATTATTTGGCTATCGACCAGCTGCGCCGGCTGCCGGGGGAAAACGGGCATTAATATATTCCTAGCCAGGTCGATACATATTCCGACCCTTTCTCTTCCCCACTCCAGGGAGGAAGCAAAAGAAAAGCTGCTAAGCTTATCAATGTCGCATTCCAGATTCCGGGCCTTCAAGCAGTCAATTTCACCGGATACAGGGCTTTACGAAGCAAGACGCACGCTTTGTCATCGCGGACGCGGTCTCGATGCATCAGCGGGCGTTGGTGATGATTGGGTGGCCGGGAACAGGAGGGGAAGGGGAACGTCATCGAAGTCATTGATTATGCTGGCGTACGTCATAGTCGATGATAATAAGACCAAAAGGAAAAAGAAGAAACTCAATGGATCTCCTCAAAGGAGGTATCTAATAATCCTTTGAATTTGTTGGATCACGGAAGATGACCTTTTCCCTTTTCGGTGTTCCAAGATCACTCCACTTTCCGTTTTCTGGCAGGTTGGAGGTGATCGAACTTGGAAAGAACGTTGATTACCTCACCTCATCTCTGGACGATGTAATGAGCAATGAGCATAAGTGATAAGCAATTTAACAGAGCAAATCCAGACTAAGCGGAGGATGAGACGCTTCTCCAGCAGATAATTGCGTTGTGTTCACTGCCCCCTGTGTCAGGTACCGTGACCGATCGATATATATATAATGATCCTATACTCGAGGCCAAAGAAGAGAGCCACTTTGTCAATCGCACAATCAAATCATATCGTCATTCGATCTCCTGCCTGTATGTCTATCTATCTATCTTCAGCCCTGCAAAAGACGCATACGCATGAGGAGAAAAAAATATTGAACTTATTCCTAAGTCAGCTGACTATATACCAGCAGGGCCAAAACATCCGGCTATAAAATAATTCATCACAGTTCCAAATAACCGACCCAAACAAGAAATCTCTCCTGACCCAGATGTACCGCGAAAATAATTTCCTCCCCCTCATCACGATTGACCAGTCATGACTCGTGTATGAATAAGATATGTCAGGGCGTTGATCGTTAAGAAGTCAATTCCGTGCTATCTCAGTGGACTCCCTCCGAAAAAATCGCTAGATCCGGGGCCGCCAAAGCTGCTACTGCTAGGTGTCAGAGCGTTCGACCGCCTGAAAGCCTGTCGAGGCGTCGACGGAGCGCTTCCAGCACCGTTCAAATTCACTGCGCCTCCGACGTCCGGTGTGTTGCGGCCACTTCCATTTGTCGCGCTGATAGCGGTGCCAGGACGAGCAGGCCCGTTGCCATTGCGGGGAGGAGGCCGGAATCCCAGTTTGAATCCTTCGCGGAAGATCTCTTCAAGCATCTGCGACACAATTCCAGCATCCTCGTATTCCTGAAATTTCTTCCACAGACGCAGTGCCATGCGGGCGTCTTCAATCGAGTCGTGACCCTCGGCAGCGTCCGGGCTTTCCTCCTGGATGTACTCCTTGAAAACGGCCCATGCGAGATAGCGCAGGCTAAGGCGACGGTTCTTGGCTGGATGAAAGAAGAGATACTGGGTATCCACGGTTTGCGCCTTGGGAACCTGGATGTTGATCTTGCGAAAGTCCGATGCGAGCCCATGTCCCACGAACACGCAACCGAGGTTCAGCAAGACCCATAACTTCTTATAGGCGACCTTGAGCGGGACCAGATTGTGCTCGCTGGTTCTTGGGTCCAAATCTCCCGGCTTGATGCCGGAATATTGAGTAACGTAGTCCACAATGGGCTCTTTGATCGTGATATAATCGTCAATGAACGGAACGCCTTCGTTCACACCCGACCCTCTCAGCACAGACACTCGAGCAAGACCGCTCTTACTGGGTCGTATGATTTCTTGCGACCCGTCGGCCTTGACGTCGATTTCTGCCTTCTCTAAATCTACAAACTCCGTGTCGAGAGCGACTGGTGTTCCAGGCTCCGGCCGTTCCTCTGGAGCGAGCACACGGCAAGATTCGATAACACGGCCACCACTGGGAAGAAAAATTAGCACTCTCATCTCAACGTTTGGATGCAAGCGGACTCACTTCATAGACCATTCGTGGAATAGCAACGACGTGTCGAGACCCTCCTTCCACGAATCATCGACCTTGTGCCTAGCGTGCTTCGCCTGATATGCCAAGACGCATGGCACTTTCCAAGGTTCACTGAACTTCAGAGCCTCATCTCGACTAACTTCGGTGACCAAGAAGTCATTGAACAAGTGCCACCTGCTTTTGTCCTCGGGTTCGCGCGCAGAGATACTGACATTGATGAAGGACACGAGATGCGGCTTGTGATGTTCGGTGATATCAATCTCAGCGACCAGGCCTACCAGCTCGTAGACGGTCAACCCAGGGGTGCCGTTCTGCACCCGCGTTCGAAGATCTTCACCCTCGAAACATTGCACCTGGCCGTTGTCGACTACGATACCAACCTCCTCAGGTAACCAGCCCGGAGTCGCCCACAGTTGTCGATAGTGCGGGTTGTTCAACGCCGCATTTAACATCACGACCGGTGGCATGTGGTGTATCGTCTTTCGAATTGCTACTTGCTGATAGCGCCGGCAATGGTTGCACCATCCTCTATTTTGAGTCTCCCGTTCGATGCTCGATTTCAGAATGCTGGAGAATTTAAACGCTGGATTTCGCCGTGCATGTTTGACATCGAGGGTGGGGTAAATGAGTTCGTTCACAAACGCATTGCCGGGGCGGACGATCTCGTTCCGACAGAACATGCATCTGATAGACTCAGAAGCGATGGTCGCGAGATTCTTGTCAAGTTCGTCCGATTCGGGGGCGATCGCGCGATAATCATGTGCGATTTGATTCAGGAAGAATCGATTGACTGACTGGATAGCAGTAGCCAGAGATTTATTCGTCAGATTCTCCTCCAGAAGTCCTAGATTCGAGGCTTCACGGAAACTGCTGAACGTCCTCAGAAGATTGGTGGCCTGGCAATTTTGGCCATTTGCTTTGTCCAACATGTCAAACAGGTATCCCATCTCACACAGCAGGCAGTTCTCAGAGATACAGCTGCTCGCCGCATGATGCAGCGCGATGTTTCGCATGAGAGGGATGAATTTGAATAATTGAAGGAGGGCGTTCGTAAACGAGTTTGCAATGTGCGTTTCCAGCCCGGAGAATGTGGTCTTGTTGTAATACCTAGTGCTCTCTTAGTATTTTCTCTGGATACCGTGCAGTATATAATAATAGGCCGGGAAAGAAATAAACTCCATCCTTACCGGAAATCAAAGTCGTCCACACCAAATTTACTATACTTGATTTCGACATTGCTGTATTTCAGCAACGGATCTTCTTCCCCGTCCGCGCCCAGCTTTGCACCAGCCAGCGCATCAGAAACATCCGCAACCGAACCATCGCTCTTGTTCCGCGGCTGCTCTCGCGCCTTTTCGCTCAGGAACTTCGGTGCCGCCAGAGCTGGTTCCGAAGAGATAAGTTGGCGTGTGTTCTCTACCTGATATCTCCGCGTCTTTCTCGGATTTGCAGCGTAATGCCCGATTTCAGCAGGGCGAAGGTACGGTATGATGGATGGGTCGATCGGGGCGGGAGGACTCCCGACGTCGAAGACAAGATGGCTGGGCCAGGCGGACAGGAGACGCTCGTGGTAGTAAGGCATGCCAATAAGATTCAGGGGCGTGTCAGGAGACCAGTCGATCATCTGCGGTCGCGGAGTGACATCGGCAAACTCGGTTTCCTTGCTCATTTCATTGAAATGGATTTTGGAGGGTGAGCCCCAGAGGTGAATTGAACATTCGGCATCATTAATGGCCAGAGCTTCCCCAGATGGAGATATCTCAAGTCCTAGCATGAAGTTGACATTTGCCTGGCGGAGATTGACAGTATTGGGATTCATCAAATCCACGACTTGAAGCTGGCCTGTCTGAGACGCCACGAAACTTGTCGTGTGGAGTCTTGGATGCATGCGTACATAGGCTGCACCCGCATGGAAGGGGATGGGAGGCAATGGTGTCAGAGTTTTTAGATCATACACATTGGCTAATGGGTCCACGATTGGAGAACCCAAATGTCGCATCGAAAAACCACAAGTAACAAGGAAATCATTCCGAGCGTCCATATCGTTGACTGCGGCACCATGAGCCTTCCAACTCTTGACAACCTTGAAATCCGACAGGCTCAGCGCGTTGACGGAACCTGCATCTGTCGCAGCGCAGAGATAACGGCTCTTCCTCATGATTGTGTAGTTGACATCAGTCGCCACCTTATCAACCACCTGCCCCTTGTCTATGTCCACAATCAGCATCGTTGGCTGACATCCCGCCACGATGATTCGATTCGTCTGGGCAGTGAAGCTCATGCACCGTAAATCGGTCATGTCAGGGTGGGAGAGGTGCCACTGGGTGAGACCCCTGCGAGAAACCATATGCACGCTCTTCGACGAAATGGAGATCACGCCTTTCTCATGGAACAGAAACTGTCGTACAGGTCCCTCGGAAACTGGGTGCGCTCGGACGGACGTGTATCTCTGGAGCTCCGGCCCGTAAAACGAGGTAACCCTCCCCTGGATGTCAACCGATTCAGGTCAGCAACACTGCATCCCACAAGATTTTACTGGGTGGAGGCTCACAAATTCATTTCCCGCCCATAATAACTCCTGAAGATCATCAAACGCAATCGTTGTCGCAATGGTGGGCAGGACATGCGGGTTGGGAGGCGGCACCGGGATCCGCGACACCTCATCCCAATCGGCCTCCATGATGGCTCGTAGACAACGTATCCCACAGCCAAATCGCTACTTCCGAGATCGGGATCAAGCAGTCTAAGTTATTTGATCGGTTACGCCTCCAAAGTCTCTACCCGTACGGGCATCCGGCGTCATTCTCAGAGATGGATGCTGGCAAGGCCGCAAGGTGGCTTTGATTCTAGCGGAGGCGCCATGCACGGCACGATAACAGGAAGGTTATCCTTGGAAGATCGATAAGCTCAGAGACTTGTCAGGTTGGATGCACGGCGGATATCGCAGAAGACTTGATATGCTATTCAAGAACGATCTCCCGCGCCTGAAAGATGCGGAGCTGCACGGACATGCTATCACGTGACCTGGGTTTAACCACGTCGATGATCTACACTTACGAGGCACATCCCCCCTACTATAAAGGAAATAACACTTTTTGTAACTACGTTTTCTGGACTTTTTACATAACGTAATCAACCACCGAGCGACGAATACCACCGAGCGACGAATTTTCCTCCACCCTACCACTTCCTTTTTTCAACGCGTCATTTTATCACCACCACTATCAAAAATGCCTTTATCTCAAGAAAACCGAATTCAAATGGCTATTGCAGCTTATAAAAATCAAAAAGTCAAATCAATACTGAAGGCTGCAGAGATTTTTGGGGTGCCTGAGGCTACCCTTCGCGCTCGCCTTAAAGGAAGACAACCACGCGCAGAAACACGTGCTAATGGCCATAGATTAAAGGCTATTGAAGAGGAAACACTTATTCAGCGATTACTAGAGGCAGATAAACGAGGTTTTCCAATTCGGCCAGAGTT